GTAAAATTAAAAACTTTTATATGTAAGAAAAAATATATATTTTACTAATTATAATTAGTAAAAAATTTAAGTATTATATTATTTTTGATTGTTATTGTATATATATATATATAAATATATAAATTTTTTATTAAAAATTTAGTTTTATAAATACTAATATCTTCTTTAATATTTTTTTTAAATTTTTATTATTTTTTATAATTTTTATATTTTTTTAGCTTATTTTCTTAATAATTATTAATTTTTTTATAATAAATACTCTTTTTAATAATTATAATTTTATTTAAAATATTCTTATTCTTTATCAATAATTAAAGAATAGTAAATTTAATAAATTTTTATAATTTAATAAAGATTATTTGATATTTAAAGATAATGATTAGAAGATTACTTATAATTTTAATAATAAAAGATAACTAAATTCTAATTCAATTCTAAAAATATCTCAAGAATTAATATTTATAATAGAAGAAATTTCAGATTAATTAAATAAAATACAAAATAGTAAATAAGTAAAGTAAATTATAAAAATTATTAATACTAAAGTTTTAAGTATAGTAATATTAGTTAATATTAATTATTAATTTCAATTTGATTAAAACTGATAGATAAGAGTTCAAATTATCTTTAATAACTTATTTGAAAATTATAATAATTAATTTGATAAAGTATAATTCATAAGATATTATTATTTTGAATAATTATTAAAGGAAACATCAAAATAGAACTCTTAAAAAATTCAAATATTACAAAGAAAACTAGTCTAATTGAAAGGAATTACTTTAATTAGAAGATATTTTCTACTTGAAAAATAAATTTATCAGTTATTAGATAAAAATAAACTTAGAAAGACTTATAATTTTTAATAAATTACTTATTATAATCTATATTATATTAAAAATAAAGAAATTAAAAAAATTATTAAAAGAATTTAATTAGTCTTACTAGAGCTTGATCTTACTTAGAGAGATCAAATATTATTGTAATAACTTAAATTTTATAATTTTTATAAATTAAAATTTTTTGCCAATCAGCTATTTTATAGAAGATTTGCAATTTAAAATAATTTAATTAGTGTATCAATTAATTTCAGTCACACTTTAGTTATGATTTAATTTTATTTTAGCAATACTTCAGAACTATAGATATATAATTTACTTAGAATTAGCTATAATTTATCAATGATTTAGCTATACTTTAAAAATAGTTCAGATATAAATCTGAAACAAATTTCTTTTTCTTTATTTATTATTAATTATCTTTTCTCTAGAGAATATTTATTATTTATCAATTAATTTTAATTTTATTATTTATATTATCTTTTAATTTCCATATGTATCTTATCTTTAAATTTTATTTATTAGTTTATAATTCATTACTTGATTCTAAAAAATCTTTTTATTAAAGGAATTGATACTGTGAAGCAGGGTAAGTCACAACTTTTTAAAACTATAGGGGAGCAAATTATGTGGGGTGCCATGGATATTAATAACAATTAATCACTTTATGAAATCATTGAAGACATTCTCAATGATGCTGTAACCAACTCTAAACAATGAGATTTTGGGAGACTGATGCATGAAAACCTCATGTGGATAATAAATGTGCTCAATATTTTATAGGACAAATGAGAAAAATTATGGAAGTAAAATCCCTGAATCTGAAGGATGCTTTAGCTACGTAGTAATTCATTCTGATATGCATTTCGATCTGCATGGTAAAAAACTCAAGCCACATAAAGCACGATAAAATGGCATTTGCCGAAAGATCTATTTTATTATTTCGAAAAAAACGATTACTGATCTTTGTGCACGATTTATCATGCATGATAAAAGATATGAATCCCTATCCTCTAATAAGATTACGCAAATCAAAATTTGGATGAAAAGTATAGGCGGATTGATGATTATGCACAAAACAAGGCTAAAAAAATGGGTCGAATCATATATTAAGGAAATTAACATAGTTGGTGGAATCACTGCTAAAATAAATGAAGAATTCGATACAAACGTGCATATAGAGTAGCAATTAAAAAAGCACGTGAAATACTTTCCCTCAAAATAAGAAGATCATATGAAATATTTCATGGAAATGATATTAATTTTAAAGTTAACGAACCTATTGTAAGATTATAGAAGGGCTGTTAACTATGTTATAGCACCTATACTAAAAAGAAATAAAAATGGAACGAGAAACGCTCCCGCCTATAAAATAAAAATTGGATAACCTAGAACTAGATGTTATATCTATTTATAACATTATAGAAAATCCCATTTGTGAAAAATTAATAAAGCAGTTGCCAGAAATTATTAAGATTTTGAAAAGGTATGAAAATTCTTCAAAAAAATTAGTATATCACATACGTTATAAAGAGCATATAAAAATTCCAGATAAAATTGGTCGATTCGAGACAATGCAAAAAGCAAAAAATAATTACAGAGCTTTCTATACCTGAAATATCAGAGAATGATAAATCTATTCTTAATATATTTAGAAATACATGAGAAGCAAAAGTAAATAATGAATATTTCTACCTCAAAGAAGCGCCCTTTGGTTAACCTATATTGTTAAGTTCCTTACTAATACTCTCAATATTAGCGATACAATATAATACTAATATATATTTTCTTTATGTAAAAAAAATTTCAACTTCAAATAGATGATGAGTTTTGAGTAGTATAGTATAAAGGTAATGTATCTTCGCATGTATTACTATTTTTTTATTTTTTTCTAGTTATACTTCGATACTACAACCCATATAATAAAAGCGATAAATAATAAGATAAGTAATGGTAAATAAAATATACCTCCTGAACCCAAAGCACCTCAACTAAAATCTCAGGATTTGAATCAATAGGATCTCTGATATACAGGTTATGGATCACACTTATTTCAGGAGCTAGGGTCAGGACACACATTCTTTTTTGATAAATCGATATTTAAAGATATACATCATCTTTAAATGTAGTAGAGGTGGAGTTTAATAACCCAGGGTCACGGATTTTATTATCTAGAGGGGTAATATCATCTTTTTTACTCTGGTCTGTGTCGTATAACTTATTATTTGATTTTTTTTACGTAAAAACTTACCAAGATCTTTTATAGGTTCATCATCTATGGAGATGTTATTGGAATTTGATTCATCCACACCAGTTATAGGTTTTGGTAATGACTCATTTTTATTATATAAATTCTGCTTCTTCCGATTTTAATTGTTCCGTCTCAATGTATAGCTCAGATAATTTAGATAAGAGATATGTTTTCGGCTTCTTTTTCTGATAAGTCTTTTTTGGAATAAATCCAACTTACTTTTTAATGTCTTTATCTTATCTTGAAGTAATTTTATTTTTTTTGTTTTTGCGACAATTTCTGTATTAGAATTGGCAAGAGACAGTTTCCTTCTTGGCATTTTGAGAAACAAGATCAGTATTTTCACTTTGTTGTCTTTGGTAATATTTGAAATCTGAGAACGTAAATTCTGATTTTCATTATAATATTATGTTAATTCACGATCCAAGCTTTCTCTTTCTAGGTCCCAAGTTTTTCTTCCCAATTAATATTCTTTTCTTGATCGGAATATTTATCAGTAATTCAGAATATTTGTCTTGTAGTTTTTCGCTAAGCTCATTTGTATCATCTATAGATTTGATTACGTTGTGTAATTTTTCTTTAAGCTCTTCCTCATGCATTTCTAAGACGATTTTCCATTTTGAATCAGTTATGTATTGTAAAAATATGTTCCAATTATTAAAGATTATTTTATAATTTTTAAAAAATCCTATAAATATGCAAATATATCGTCATATTTCTTTATTTGCATGATATTATAGCTTGTAAAAAATTAAACATTATGGGACGTATTCATAAAAAATACTATAGTGCTAAAGCAACATTTTTTTCAGATGAGGCAATTCAAGAAACTAAAGGACTGATGCGATAAATACTATGGCAAAAAATATCGCATATCTCACTCGTGTTGTAGATTATATAGATCAAAAATGGTACAAAAAAACAGTTTAAAGAACTTATATTCCGCAAAATACAGAATATAGTTTTTAGAATGTATAACCTTTCAATAATTGCATTCGATGATGTCAACTTAGATTTTATGTTGTAAATTTTAAATTTGTATACTTTACTGAAATATCACCTATGATTGTTAGATTATTAGGTATAAAATTAAAATTTCTTACTTCATTAAGAAATTCTTTTGAGAAATTTTTCGAATTCTCCAATATAAGTCGAATTTCCAAATTACAGAATATATTGTCGAAAATTCTCCTTTTGCCAAATAGTTGATATCAAAAAAATTGTCAGAAATCAATACATTCCAAATTTTTAAATACGTTGCTTTCGTTTCTAAACGACCTTATCAATTCATAATTTCCGGTTCGTTTTTCTACGTTGACATTAATTCATGGCAGTGTATGCACCAATAGTGCGTATTACTACAGTTGCAAATTTCTTACACAAATACTTTTCAAACGAATGTCCGCCGAAATGCGTAGTAAAGCAGAAAAATCAACGTCTTCTTTCGCATTTTGCATCAATACAGTAAATCCTTTTTCATTACAAGCAGAACAAATTTTCGAATCTTATAAGTCTTTTAAAACAATCATGGTGTTTTTTGAATAATTTCTATCAAGTAAATTTTGTTTCATTATTTGGCGGAAATCGAAATATCAAGTTATTTTTCCTCAAAATTTTGATTGCTGGATATTTTCTGTCGAAGAATTCTTTAAGCTGCTCTTACATCTACGATGAATTTTTGTATAGCACTACGTGGAAATTCATTTGAAAAGTTCCAAGTATTTAGGCGAAAAAAGCAATAGTTAGAATATACAATTGAAAACATCATTTTTTATTATATTAATTTTCCCTTCGATATTTATTAAATGTTTGTGTTTTTAAAAACGAATTATTTTCTCAAAAAAGCAATATTTGAATTTTATAATTATTAAACGTTTTATCATCTTTAATCTATTCAAGCTTTGATAATTTTACATTCGCCAACTTTCACCTGCAATAACCCTCTCAAAAGCAGCAGATATCGAAAAATGAACTTTAGACTCCAAATTGAGCCAATCCCAGAACATATACTTTCGAGAGTTAGAACAAACGGAAGAGGAATTTTTATAATCCGCATAACAAGGTTCCACAAAATTATCAATTCCGCTTTCATTAGCCAACGATTCCTTGAAATAACGTAAGAACGAGTCTGTATCAAACGAGTAAATAGTCGCATCGGCATGATCGTCGCTAAAATTCGCGATTAATTGTTGCAATAAGTTGTTATGCATCGTCAAGACTTGTTGCGATTGAGATGGGATTTGCTTGGAATATTGGGATACTGGGAGCAATGTAATGTTGAATAGATTTGGTATTAGAAAATATCGAATTCCTGTGTTATAGAGTTGACCTATACATTGTCCTAAGATTGATATTATTTGCTGTGGATCGATTGTATAGTTGGAGTAAAGATAATCGTTGCCAATAATCCAAATCTAAAATTTTGAATTTTAACGTTAATAATTAAAAAGTTTATGCATGCGCGTACGTATATGCTTAGCGAGAGGAAAAAGAAATTACCGAAGCCAAAAGGTTACTTAAATCTGTTCCACGTTGTAAAGAACAAAATTTATTGACTTGTTGAACTACGCCTGGTACATTTATATTATTATTTGGGCCAGTTACACCTGTCATTACACACGAAATTATTATCGTCATTCATAAATAGAGTAAATTCATAATTGAGATAAGAAAACGGGGTTTACCTTTAATTAAATTCATACTAACAAAGAAAGTAAACAATGCAATGTTAGGGAAGAGTTAGAATGAAAATAAAAATTAAAATAACATGATGAAAACGAACGTACTCTAAAGTAGCAGACCCGAAAGCATAATTTTCAACACCGCTCAAATTTAATCGTGCCATTAGATAGTCCGGCCAAATTGGACCATCAGAATAACGACCGTTGTATGAAGGAGAAGGTGGCCATGTATGATTCGTTATGCTGTATATATTTCCTACATCTTTTTTTTTCGGTCAACTAGTTAAATTTTACTTTTAGAATAACAACAAATAAATTACATAATACAATACAAACCAGAATAAGAATCACCAAACAAAATCAATTTATCAAACTTTGACCCAGTATTTGTTGATGCAGTTTGCGCATTCGTAAAAAACAACAAAAAGCAATGGCCATATACATGAAGCAAGAAAATTTGAACAAGTGATTTTATCAATATCGCCATGAGTGGTTATTTACAATAATATTATAAAAGTCAAAGTACGTAATTACTTCGCCGAAAAAAGGTTATGATCGCTATTAATTGAGCTCGCAATCAATATAGCGATGGTTCAAAAATTGAAGCTTTTTTGAGGCTATGGTTTTTTTTTTGGCTTAAAGAACTCTCAGAAAGTAAATCCATCATAAGCTAATATATATCTAATATATACAATAATTGCCATATGGTTTTCGTCTTCAATAAAAGCCACATCACAATGAAGTCGTTATATAGAATATGCACATATTTGATATTCGAGAACCCTAAATAGTATCGCAAAATTAATTATAGGTCCTAACACGACAATAATCATTGTTGTAATGCATCTTCAAAAAAACATCTTTTATGTCACATGTATTACCTACTTCTATAAATAAATACGCTAGACTTTTCTTTGTCTGAGTAATCATAAAGATTGTGGAATTCACAACCTTAAATACATTAAGTCAAGTCATAATGCAAAATTGCATCAATTGTTATTAGATAGAATACAAAATATTACATAAATTGAAAATAGCTAAATATACATGCAATTACAAACAGATCATACAAATAAATCGATGAAGATGAACCTTAACTTTAACCAAAAAGTAATGATAATGCATTCAACTATTAATAAGGAATATCACGTAGATCGATGTCTGCGGGAACATCGTCACTCTCATTATCATCGTTTTCTTGTTCATCAAAGGCTTCACCTTCACCTTCATCTGAACCTTCATCATCACCCTCTTCAAAAACATCATATCCAACTCCCTCACCTTCCTTTTTGCCCTCATCAACATCGATAATAATGTCCATTCTTCCTGGCATATCAACATCTCCGTTCAAATATGGATTAAATTGAGATTCTCTGCCTTTTCTCTTGCCAATACCATTTATAGTTGCAGACGTTGTTAATCTATCATTATGTCTTCCATTTTCATTAGAATTAGATGAATCACCATACTCCGATGAAGCTGGTGCCGAATAATCCGGTATACCAGGTCTTGATTTACTATTTGATCTTGTTATGCTTCCAGTCAAACTCCGTATCATACCTAATCGAGGTGAGCTTCCAGGCACACTTTTAGGCGAAGATGGAACTGATGTTGGCGTATTACTTAAATAAATCTCGGGTGGAATTTCAACCTTTGGCAATGAAGGTTTCCAATAATTCCAATCGTTATACTCTGTATCCCATTTTTTGGATCCAATATGAGGAAACATTTGATCCACTAGATCACTCAAATCAATATATCTGAACAAAAATAAAAAATCATTGGCCCGAATCCACAAGCAATGCAAGCTAAAAATGAAAGTTTGTAAACTATTAATCGACCAACTTACGAAGATTTATACCCTGATAATAATTCTAGCTTCACTGTTCCATTAGAATCGATAGTAAAAATCCTTGAGGATGGAACATCAACACTTCGATATGATAACGCATCCTAATCACGAAGGTAAATTGTTAATTAGCAAGTAACTAAATATAAAACTTTCAAAAAAAACTTAATGAGACATGCCGTTATTCGATTGCCAAACCCAGCAAAGAATGGATTCCGATCACCAAATAATTTCTTTACATCACGTAAACAAGCCATCTTGAAAACTTCGGGCTTTCGTATTATAACTTCCCTATATATTATAAAGGAATTATATTATTAAAAACTTCTTATTAAGCCTAAATGAGTATATTGGGAAAATAGCTAAAACCTATGAAATGCTGTGAGTAATCGGTCCGGTGACATTATAACTGGTCCATCGGGTAATTGATATTTATCTTGCTCTACCTTTCTTAAATAATCTCGAGTGTAGTCAGCCTGCTCATAAAAGTTTTTCGATTAATAATAAACAAAAATCGTTCGCAATCTGATAAATTAATTACCTGTCCAATTGCACGACTAGTTAAATATAATATCTGATATCCATTATTGCGAATATCTGTGTATAACTTGGCGACTCCCGAATGAGTCCAATCTTTACCAATCATGGTGAATACATGACCAAGCGCGTCAGATCTATTTGATGGATTAAGTTAAATCAATTATACCTGTTAAAAGGATACGCAGATATTGATTATCAAATTAGATTTTAACTTGGTAATTGTCCCGTCGATGTCAGAGATGACGATTTGTGCATCATAATCCCAAAAAAATAGTTTAGCCACACATGTAGCCTTTCCTTGATATGAAGAAGCAACGGAAAATGATATGGTGTTGCCTCCCTTCTTCAGATTAAGACTTTTCTGAAATTAATAATCACATAAGACTTGTCAATCAATTTTTTTGATTGTGATAAAACCAATTTTTAAAAAAAGTCAAAAGACATACTAATTGTTCCGAGGTTAATCTCAATGTTTTTGCATAATGTTTAGTTTGGTGCATTTGAATTTGAAGCTGCTGATGAATAAAATAAAAAATTTAATATAAAAGAATCGATCAATATCATACACAATATATTATAAATATAAAACCTTCGTGTCATTATCTTCGCTTTCTTCTATTGATTTCGTTGTCTGATCGAGAGTATTGTGTGAAGCAGAACCACGAAACCATCGGCTCCAACCTCGCCCAAAACTATACCTTCGACGATCCGATGGTTGTAATGTTTTTGTCGTTGTCGTTGACGATAAAGAGGCAATGGTGGTTTTTGGAAGCGGTTTTTGAAAAACGAGGAGAGACACCATTATCGGTGCTGCGGTTGCCCAAGTATAATATCTTTGAAATCCCGATAATTATTCATGTTAAATACCATTTTTTGCCGACTTTAAAGTATAAGATCAAGAAGCTTGAATATGAGTACGACCTGCCCTCATACTTGAACACCAAGGCCTTTTCATTGAGTAGATGCGGATTTACACAAAAATGTTCATATGTTATTTCATTCTTTCTGAATAACTCATCATCAACAATCTACATTGTAAATGAAGGGGTTAATTATTAAGGTATAAGAGAACAATTCAAATCTTGCTAACTCACTTCATCATGTCCAAATTTTTCGTTTCCACAAAGCGACATAGATATTCGATGGAATTTGCCGTCAATTTCAACACCTTTCTCATATTCATTTTCTTCCCACTCTTTGTTCTCCGAGGCTTCTTGCCATTGTAACATTTTATCCGAAGTTCTTACTGGTAAGTCACCCCAACGCCACGACCATTCTTCGGATGACGTCGACGGTTTTTTAGGCTCGTACTGATAATTAGCAAACGAAATCAATAAATATAGATAATAGTTCAAGATACATAACAGAACATAAAAAATCATACCTCAAGTTCCGTATCACTCAAGGGACTAACTCGCGTGACACGGCGCTCGATCCTAGGTGGATATTACATGGACATTAGTGAATATTAAAAAAAAAATAAAAATTTCCCAAAAGTTGAACTATGTTCTTTTTGAACTCCATACGGATTTTCTGGTTTTCGTGTCTCATCCAATTCGGTATCAGAAAAAGGTCCTTCAGGCTTTTCCCCTAAATGATTTCATTATTGATATGTTATTTATATAAAACCGGGATGCGAGATCGGAAATGCGTAAAATCTATAATATTTAACGGAGCCTAAATTTATTATCTAACATGACTCGAGACTAAAATCATAAAAAACCTTTCATCCGAATCCATTTATATCATCCTAAATTTGTTTTCTTCAGTATGAGCAATTAAAAAAAAATACGCACATGTGGAGTATTCTATCGGCAGTGATGATTGACGTTCAATAATTGGTCGTGAAACAGTAACAGGTTTATTCAACTTATCCAAAATGTAATCTGCTGGGGCTTGTTCCGCATCTTGCTGATCTTTGGATTGATTTTTATCCGTGGTTGGAATCATTCCCACTCTCTCGTCAATGCTTAGCTTATGTGTAGCAGACGACTTATGACCATCCATTATTGTATTAGCTTTATCAATTGATATCTTCAACTCGTAAGAGACACCATTCTGATTTATAACGTTATTTTGATTTTTAGATGTTATATAATCAAGCTGAGATTCTGGATAAAAAGAAAAATGGTAAATCAGTAATGATACCTTATTAAGAAATTGAAATTTTTATATACCAAGCTCTGCTTCGCTTCGCATTTTTACTTCCAAGAATGAAGGGCTATTTGGCGTTTCTTCAAATTCATTTTGACCTATATTTTCATTGTTCTCATTTTGTTCTTCATAGGCATTGGCCGCCTCTATATTTAAAGAGGCTTATTTATATATAAAAAAATCAAGAATAATTGTTTTGTTGTCAGCCACCTACCTTTCGAATGTTTATTCTGTATGTCATTGTGAGAATTAAAATTAGATTGCACTTGTATTTCTTCCAAAGTCATCACATTTTCAATTTCCGATAACGTATTATCTTTCGTAGATTCTTCGGCCACAAGTGTATCCTCTGACCATTTCGTGATATTTGAAATTGATTCCTCGGCAACAGGTGTTTCGTCTGATCCTTTGGTATGATTTGAAATATCTTCCCCATTTGATCCATGGTAGGTCAAACTCTCGGGCTCTGCAACTAAAATCTTTGGCTTTACATTCCCATCACATCCATCTTCGGTTGAAATGTCTTTACCATAAATAGCATATTCAAAATTAGAGAAGTTCAGACATTCCTTGCTGCATATGAAAATTACCTGAGCTGGATCCAGATTGAACAGACGCAACGAAGCTTTCGACTAGCATATAATATAACAATCATGACATAAAGAAAATAAATGGAAATCTTTTTATTTATAATAAGTGATGAATACGATACCTCGATCAGCTATTGGTTCTTTTGGGCTACGAGCTCTGGATTCTCCTATATCGAGAAAATCTGGTTCCTAAGTTAAAAAAATTAATCAGATTTCATCGGACACCCGATAATAGTATAACCAAAGGAGCAAAGTCAAACAAACCTCTTCGCTTGACAAAGGTTGGGTAGGGCCTGCAAGTGGTGAAGTTTGCAATTCATGTGGAACTTCATTCTCCATTTCTATAATGAAAAATGCTTCACCAGCTTCCCCAACTTTCATCGGGAAATCGACCAATTTTCCATTGACAGTCACCTCAACCTTAAGTTAAGTCGCTAATTTAGCTCAAGCGGAAGCGCATCAAATAACTCTGACTTGAATCAGATTTGTATGTGGTCTAGATAGAAAACGCAGTGTACCTTTTTTTCTTGAGGCCTGAGCACGCTCAGCTTCCCAAACCTTACATGGAACGGAGAACAAGCAAGATCACCATCTGGTTGTTGAACAACTATTACATCAATCGCTCCTGAAAGTGTAGCGGGATTGATTTCCCTGTAAAATTGGTTCACTGTAGAGACAAGTTTATATACCGATTGCATTGATACAAAGAGAGTGTTTTAATCCTGAAAGTGACTTTTGCACGAGATAAATTCGATTATTAATTTAAAATCTCGGTTTACTTACCTAAATATTAAGGATCGCCGAGTTACTCAGTAATTTGCCATATGAGGTTAGATAGATTGTTTGTTTTCTCAATGACGGAATTCGTTGATCCCTATTGAAAAGATATATTCTTGTCTTTTTTACTTTGAAATAAAAAAAATGGGTAAAAGAAAAACCAAAAGAAAACCGGTGGCAAAGAAGAAAGAAACCCTCTCTTTACTTTTTGATTGCATATTTTGTTATCATGAAAAAAGCATAGAAGTTAAAATGGACCGAGAACAGAGAATAGGAAGTCTAAAATGTCGAGTTTGTTTCGTCACATTCCAATCAAATATACATCAACTGAGCGATCCAGTGGACGTATATCATGAATGGATTGACGCATCAGAAGATACACGGCAAGAACAACGACCTGGATCAAAACGGCCGAATAATCGAATGCCAGGCGAGGGTAATGGAAGAGGAAGTGGTGGTGGTGGTGGTGGTTCTGGTAGTAGGGAAAGGAATTTGGATGAATATGATGAGGATGATGATGCTGAATTGGAATATGAAGAGGATCATAGCCGTTATCGTGGTGGCGGTGGCGGTAGTTTTCGAAATACCTCTGAACAGCATTTCGATGACTATGATGAGGATGATTTTAATTAAAAATCAGTTTATGAACTCACTCAGCATTGTAAATTAATTTGCTACGATGAATTTTTTGGACTTTTATATATGTATATATATATACATACACACAACACAACACACATACACACACACACACATATACATATACACCTCGTAACAACATATTTGTTTATAGTGTAACTATGATAAATAGCGCGTTCTTTTTATTATCAGTAATGGTATAAATTAGATCAATATAATGTACAAGTAGATATTCATATAGAAATAAGTTGCTCTCTAAAACAAGGACGCGAAAGGTAATCATTTTTGATGAGTCAAGTTTCCAAATCCAACTCTCATCGTTCTCACATTCTTTTTTATTGTCTCGCTCGAAGACCTGAATATTGTCAATTTTACCTGGTGTCTCGACTAAATTCTCAATTTTACATATCGAATAATGCTCTAATATCATCGATGAGTATCTCTTAAGAGTCACTAGACGTAACTTTTTTTGTAGTGTTTCATAGAACTTAAATGTCCATTGGATTTTACTAAATTTTTAAAGATCTAGAAAATGTGCTTTATCCTATTTATTCTTCGCAATCCCATGGTTCAAGAAAGCGAAAAAAAATACGGAAACAGATAGCTGTCAAAAATGTCGGGAAGACAATTTTATAAATAATCTACACTCGAAATCAGATATTTAATATTGATCGGATATTTCAGTGGCCTAGATCATCATTATCATCACGTGTCAGTAATTTTCTTGAGGAAATTTGTTTTTCTAATCTTTGCCGTGGCTAGAGCATTAAATAATAGGGAATTTGATATTTTAAAGGATGAGGAATGAGGAAACTGTAAACCTAATAAGCTGGATATTTATTTATTTTTGAATCTCTACTCGAATTTCTATAGCAACTTTTCGCGGAAATATAGAATGGCTTATTAATTAATGTGATGTTTTGTTAATATAAAACTGGATCACGCAAATATCACGCAAATTATCAATGAATATGTAACCTTTACAGCATGAAAGAACCTCATGACTGTGATTTTGCTCGTGGTATTTGGATGGTAGGTAAGTTTTTAAAATTTTACATCTTATATTTTGTCGCTTTACTTATCTCGGCTACCGTAATGGTTTGTATGATTCTAGTGCAAAATACCTTTGAACATTTGCTGATTAATTGGCGCATTATATGATATAAATGAAAAAAATGTGACAACTACATCAAACATGTAATTCTTTAACAGGTAACCTGATTTGATATATGAATTATACACATTAATATTTCGTAGAAATTAAATACTTACTCGCATTTCTTCTCAATTTCACAACTCACGCACTTTATTTGGAAAGCAAGGATATGTTATCTCATAATTTTTTATATACTTCATATGCATACATAGTTAGACGCTTCCATCTCTGCACGAATCAAATGATTCTAAACAAAACTCGAATCCTTGAAATCTGGATCAGGAGGAGAAATGCACAATATAAAGTTTTGGGATGTATTCCAATACGTTATGTGATGGGAGTTGAACGTATATTCATTTGCCAGTCTTTGCGAGTAAGTAATGAATCTTGCAATGAAATTATGATTATTGTTCACATCATCACAGATAGATATGCTCCTGGCCTTGATATTAAAACATACGCGAACTCATTTCCTTAATAAGATGATTTTTTGTTCTTAACAAAAGGCGGTTTACATTTTTTCAGAAGATTTCTGTATATTATTAACTTTTATTAATTTTAAATAAAAAAATAGTCTTTACATTAAGGTATCAAAAATGCGCAGCGTTCGAAATATTGTTTTTTATGATATGATATCCCGTGTCATTTACCTTATTGATTCAAAATCAATGCTAGCCGACAAACCGGCCGATGTAATTTATTTTCTTACCAAAGCAATGGATCGGCCCAAACTTAAAAAAAAAGATCATTATGAGTGTTCTATAGAAAATCGTTATAAGAGTAGATGTTTTTTTATTATAATCGAGAACTTGGTAAAACTTCAAAATCTGGAGATCGCTTTGACGATGTATGATTGGCAGTGGTCATGTGAACAAGATGAGCATTTATGGTAGAACATGTGCTTTTCAAAAAATCGGTGAGACCACGTGAGAAAAAAACGCATAGATTTTTTACATGACATTATGATCAAATCAAATTAGATCACCAGCCAACAAAAAAATAAACGTCAGTGAATGACCCCTCGCGCCATTCATCTTCATTGCGTGGCTGATGATCTAAAATTGATTCACGACAAACTGGTTGATGATTTACCGTATAGCACCCCCGTGAAACTTTGTCACCACAAAGTCATAAGTTCTGAGTATGGCATTACTATAAATGTACTTATTAATCCTCTGCATTATTGTATAATTGCCAAAAGGGATTTCCGTTTATGACTTTATTCACTAACTAAATTTGATTATTTAAACAGTGACAAAAGAAATTTGTTAGTGTTAGTGGGATGGTTAGATAATTATAGAACGTATGTTTTACCAAAAAAAAGAATCTAACCAAATTTCTTTATGTCCTTAAAAATTCCTGCGGGTGGCATTAACACCATCATGACACGTTCGTTAAATCAGGTTTTGTTCTTTTTCTCGTTCTTTTTTCTCTGTGTGTGTGACTAAAATTGTAGAGCTTTCAACTGATATTCCCATATCGATACATGTTATTCGGTGATTGCTGCGCCTGCATAGTCAAAAAAAATTTGTCGTCATTCAACAATTTCCTATTCCGTTTAAACAAAGGGCACCGTAATTCATTATCGTTATCATAAATGAATCAAGACGTAATGGGATGTAAAAGCAGAGATCAAATAAATGAACAAAAATAACAAGCAAAAAAGGAAAAATTCAATCGATTTTGTAAACAAAACGGTTATCAATAGATCACACTTGATTTCGGATTTGTAATAAAGTTTCAATTTCTCATAGTGATAGTTTTTTTGAATTCGGTCACATTTCTTGAGTCATTTAATAAATGAAAGCAATCATCAGGCATACTCTTTTATTGATTTGGTGAAATATATATATATATAAAAGTACCACGTTAATCAGCCATTTTTTTTCGAAATATTCAATAGAATTTTCCCGAGGATAATGACTAATTCATATGCATTAGAATGTATGATGTAATAATGAAAATCCCTTGTCTGAAGGATTGGGTTTCATTTTAAAAAATAAGTGCATGCACAAAAAAATCAAGTACCATTGATGACGACCACCTGATGACACATTCAAATAATGGCGACCATTTTAGGCTTTAGACATATATTTGGTATTCATAGCAAACAAAAAGTAACGTTCATCTCAGAATTAAAAGAGAATGTCTGATTTGTCGAATGTTTTATTAATATTGTAGTGGTGATGGTGATGGTGATGGGCGGTAGGTGTTGATTGATGATAGTATTTACAAGTCATTGAAAGAATAGAAGAGACAGACAGAAAGAAAGAAAGAAAAAAGATCATTTTTTTCTCACGATGAGGGAAAAAGAAATATATAAGAGAGAGAAGAGAAAATGTCCGTTAATTGGGTGAAAAGTAATTTGACTATTGATTAGGCGCTTGTATTGATCATTGTTATGGAAAATCGAATTGACGTCACAAAAAGGAAACAAAGGACAGTGTAAAATGTATAATATATAAGGGTAGTCACAAGTAAATGTCAATATAAATGCTAATATTAATTAAAAATGTAAACCAAAAAATGTTTATCTAATTTGTTGAATTCTCCTATTTGAATAATATAAATAATAGTATCGTCCGACAAAGTAGAAAAAGAAAAGGGAAACCAATCAAAAAAAAAAACGAATATGATGCAAAAAATAACCCAAAAAAGAAAATAACAAACAACAATAATGAGGATGACCGTCAAAGATAGAGAAAAGAAAATGATCTGGCAATCTGTTGCAATCCGTTTAATAAATAAAATATACGCTAATAGTAGGTAGAGTAATTACTATTGGCAGTGAATTATACAAAAAATGTTTACATGCCGTGGAAAAAAAAAACTTTTTAGAAATAAATAAAATATCTGTACAATATATAATTGAAGAAATAAATAAGTGGAAATTCGAGAAATGAATAAAATGTTTTATTATATTGTTGGTATTAAGAGAATGTTCATTCATTCACATAATCATCCGTATATCGTATCTTTTCTTAATGTCATATACGTTGAATTAATAATAATAATAAAGAGTGGATTGATGAAAATGCTAATGATATCATTTAGTTATTTTATATGTTGGGTTATTATCGTTTTTCTAATTTTTTTTTTCTTTTTCTATGAATAATATTATTATGCCACCAATCGATATTTTCCTCCCTTTGTTCTGTTCGTTGTTGACGCTTATCCCGAATATACCAATAATCAATGAGTTTTGTTTGCCTCATCCCCATCCCAATAAATGTTCTTGATGATTATTAAAGTTTAATATTAATATTATCATACAGTAACAAAAAAAAATACGAGACCCTCGATGTAATAAAAAAAAGAATATGATAATAAAAATATTGTTATTGTTGATTATTCGAGTACGCATACTCATCTTCCATAGGTTGATTGGAACTTAAATAAATATTATCTGCGTCAAAAAGCCCCGAAGGATCCAAGAAAAATAAACCGGGGAATGTATCAGTCGCTATTGACGAATATAATAAGTCGTCAGCAGTGTTAGGTACGAGATTATCATTACTAGAGTTGATGACAGTATTATTGTTATAACTGTAATTTGTGTGATTATTATTGGACTCAGATGGTGAGTGAATGCTGAGCGTATTCAAGCCAAGATTATTGCTTGGACTGGATATTTGATCAATTACCCCGTTGTTGATGTTATTATTATTTGATATGGAGACGACGGATGATGAGGGTGTTACCATATAAGGATTTGGTGTGTTATTTGTAGGGCTTTGTGAACCACGTGATGAGGGAATAGTGGTAACTATTGGCGGTGGTTGTGATGGTGTCGCTGATGCTGTCGTAGTCGCTGCTGTTGACTCCTCGTATCCATTCAAATAATTGTTTATCCGATGAATAATCGCATTATTTTCTGGTGATAATGGACCATAATTTGAGTTAATTGGACAGTTGAGTGAAATATTTGCGAGTTGTTCGAGTCCATGCATAATATCGTCAGTTCTATTCTGATTATCCATTAATGGTAATCTCACCAGATGTTCTTTGATCAGTTGAAGGATTGCTACGAAGCATCGACTTTCTATTAAAACTTTCTGCAAGTTCTCAAAAAGCGACTGATATTGTGCAGTGACAAAATAATCTCGTTGTCCGTATAATTCTTTCAAAACTTGTTTCTCCAACTGTTTCACCTCAACTCCCTGATGTAGAGTGGCGTTCTCTTTCGTTAAATTTTCTGTGACTGTAATCTGTTGTCTTAACTTGTTTTCTATCTCATTCATTCGCGTTTTAAGAGCTTCTACTTGCTTGTTTTTTCTCGGGCTATTATCATATTTACACGTGTTGACGTCACAATTGCTACATGGTGCTCCCGTCTCTGCATTTCCATCACATTTTATCTTCCCTTGTCTACAACGTTGACACGCTCTTTTGTTGATTGGTCCACGACGACGAGAAGGTCCTCCGCCGTTGTTTCCCGAATCTGGCGGCGGGTTACTATTGTTTTGTGGACTCGGATATGGCCCTGAATTTACACTCGAAGCTCGTGATAACGTCGTTGCCATTCTTTGATGTATGCGCGCGTGTTTGCCGTAATTGCTGTGTGGTAATTTCTTGAATGTATATATGAGAGTGAATTGTAGTTCTTCAACTTTTCGGTTATTACTTTATCTGTTACCCAACAACCACTACTGCGTACAATAAAAAAGTAGTGGTAATAGTAGTAATAATAGTGGTAGTAGAAGTAAAGGTAGTAGTAATAATGAAATAATAAAAATAATAAATAATTATATTGTTATATGTAGATTTGAATGTGGAATTTTAATAGCATAAACTTTCGAGGAATTACAAACGGCAAAGACAAGAATTTTTAAGATAATTATTTTGACAATAAACATAAAAAACAATTTAGGATGTATTTTTACGTATGTATGCTCTTTTCTACTACTTTTTTCTTTTCTCTTTTCCTTTTTTTTTTACTTTTCTTCTATCTCTAAATGTTGGTCGAAGAACGAAGGTTAAATAACTTTTTTTAAAGTAAATTAATATTTTTTAAAAAAAAAAGAAAATCTAAGTTGTATTTATATGTGTGTTAGCGACGCAGTTTGTAAAATAATATTGTAACACCTCCAGTTTACTACACAAATTAGAAAGGCGAAACTCTTTTAGGTATGATAACAATGATTGATAAGAAATATTTGTATTCTTATTATTATTACTATTAACGAATACACTATATGTGTAAAAAAATCAAAAGTTTTACTATTGTGTAACTGAGAGAATGAAAGTCAAAGTCACTACCACCAGGAATATTCGATTTTCATCGAAAGAATTCTACAAATAGTTGGAAATCTCATAGACACTCACACTCACACAACTTTCTCTTAAATAAATGCCACAACTAGAACTAGCCACCTTTTTCTTACAAAATGACGATTTAACGGTAATCTGTGTTTCTGTCACCACAAAAAAAAAACTTCTGTTTCCCATAAATCTCTTTTGATTGGTATTTCATTCACTAGCCACACGTTGTGTTACTTACAATTTTCCAAATTCAAGGAGAACAAAAAAAGCTTCACTATCTTCGGATTTTTGCCCGTGTCTTCCCCGCTCAGTCTTTAAGCGAGGGACGTTATTACATGTATTAATTCTTGTGTTCAGCGTGTGCGTATGTATGATCATCTAAACCTACAGCTTTTGACTTTAGTATTCCTGAATAAACTTTGATTGCCAAGAGAAAATGGTTGCACCAGATGACGACATCAGAGAAAAAACTTTTTTCCAAAGTCTAGACTTGAGTGATACGACAATACCCACTCCACTCGCCACATTTGCCCCAATATTTTTTCTGTGACGCCACTGATTCTTTCAATCTAGCACGTTTTTAGCAAAAATTCCCGAGAACCCAATTACTAATATATGAAACACTTTTATTTCTTTTACTATTTATCTCATCATTCAAGGGAAGAAAAGATAATCCATCGTCTGACTATGAATCAAAATAACATATGTGGCGTAACAATATTTCAGTTTGACTTTGTATTTGTGTTTCGTGTAAAAAAAAAAGGGTAGAGTTTTTGATGATCTCACTGGCCATTGTTCCCGATTTGGAAAACAAAAAAACGTTTGTTACGATGTGTGGTTATCTTTATTGTGGCTCTCTTACGCATGATCTTTTCTTTCACAATGTGTTAGACTTCTGAAAAGAATAATAAATGATAAATGGTATATGTTGTTTACATAGTTACATTGTATATTATTTTGCAAATAAAAAATTACACCATTTTAAATATTAATGTATATGCTATTACAAAGTCACTTTATTATTCAAGAAATGTATTTTTTAAATTCTAAGCGAAGTTGTCAAAATGACATCACATCATTATTGAGCATTACGGTTATGTAAATTACATTTTTATTTTTTAATTAATAGAAAGAAATTTAAAAATATCATAAAAAATAAATATAACGCAAAAAATTATACTTGATAATTATATAATATTCTAAAAAATATAATATAAAAACTTGTCTCTATAATTATCCAATTTGACTTTATTATATATATAGTAGCAATAAAAAAAAATGAAATGCTTTTTTTTATTAATTAATAAAATATGTATTTTTCATTTTCAGAGTTTTTAATTTTATTACATAATAAATAATTTTTTGTTTTTTAACTCAAAATGAAGTTAAAATTCTCTATTTAATATATATTCTTTGAGAGTTGTTTTAATTATATTAGTCTTTTCTCAGATTTTTCAAGATTCTATTCTAAAGAAAATTAGTTTTCAGATTATTATCAGATTTGTTTCAGATTGAATTTTTATAAGAATTTTTTTAAATGATATATTTAGAAAGAATTTTTTTAAAACAAAATATCTTATATTTTAAAAAGATTTATACTTATAATTATTTTTCAAATTTATTAATCTTTTATCAAGAATTATAAGTTTATTATAACAAGTTATTTATTAAATATTTTTATTAATAATTTATAATAAATTAAAAGTATGAATAAATTTATAATATTTTATAATATTTTTATATTTTATTAAACTTTAAATAATAATAATAATAATAAAATAAATAAAAATAATAAAAAATGAAGAGATAATTAAAAGAAAAAACTAATTAAAAAGAATTATAATTAGATTTTTTTATAGTTATCTTTTTAAGATTCTCAATTACTAATTAATTATAATTAAAAAAATCTTTTTATAATTATATCTTTCTTTAATCATTTAATTTTACTTTCTCAAATATGATAATTATAAAGAGATCTGATTATAATTAAAAGAAAAAACTAAAAAAAAATTAAACTAAAACTTATTTTTATAAAAGAATTTAATTATAAAATATATATATTTTTAATATTTTTAAATTAATTTTATATTAATTAAACTATAATAAAAATTATAATAAATTATTATTTTTAAAAACTAAAGCTTAATATAATAAATTATTATAAATAATAATAAAATTTTAATTAATAAATAAGTTAATGTAAAAAATAAAATTATTATAAATAAATAAATAAATTTAAAATTAATATTCAATAAAAATAAATTATATAAATAAATTATTAAATTAAATATTAATATTTAATAAATAAAAAAGAAATTATTATAAATATTAATTAAATCTTTTTATAATTATTATTCTAAAAAAATAAAAAGATATAAAAAAATTTTTCATCATTTCTTAAATTAACAAATTATAATTATATTAATAATAATTAAAATAAAAATTATTTTTTAAATTATAAAAATAATTATAAAATTTTAATTATTATAAATAAAAAATTATAAAAAAATAAAAATAAATATAAAATATGATAATATATTAAATAATTTAAAATATAATTATAAATAACTAAAATATTCAAAAATTAAATAAAATATAAAAAGATATAAATTTAATATTCTTATTTAATAATAAATATATAATAATAAAATTTATAAATTTTTAACTAATTATTTAATTAATATTAAATAATTTTATTAATAAATATAAAATAATATAAAAATAATTATTAAAAATATAATTTAAAATTTTATTTTATAAAGTTAAATAAGTTTTAAATTATTAAATTTAATATTTAAATTTATTATTTATAATTAAAATTTTTTATTAAATATTTTATATACTATTATTTTTTTAATATATTTAAAATTTTTATTTAGATTTTTTAATTTAAATTAAATATTTTTATATATAAATTAATATTATAAAGCATTATCAGATATTATTTAAAATTTATTACTATTTAAAAAATTAATTAATATTTAAAAATATTATATAAAAATAAAAATATTAATTATAAAAGAATATTATATAAAAAAATAAAAAATATAATAAAAATAAAATATAAATTATTTATAAAATTAACTAATATAATATATATATATATATAATGGCAATCAAAAATAATGCAATGCTTAAATTTTTTACTAATTATAATTAGTAAAATACATATTTTTCCTTACATATAAAAGTTTTTAATTTTACTAACA